ATTTAAAGACAAAAGAAACACAAAGGACAATTTCAATAAAAATTAAATAAACTACATTATTTTTTGTATAAATGATACGCCTATGTGTTTTCCTCAAAGTTAATATACATTTGTCAGGTACAATTTTATTCTGCTGATTTTTCGCTCAGTTTAATCATTACCTTCACTATATTCTTGTGTTTAGAACTATTGATCGGTTCTACTACTGAATAATTTCTTGTAAGTTTAATTTTTTTTTATATTTTAATACATTTTTAAACAAATGTTTAATTTAAAATTTAAAAGAAATTTGATTTTATCGTTAAAAGATTTTTCTTAATTCAATATCCTTATATTTTAAATGACAATATTACAAGCATTTTTACTAATATTTTTTTTCTATACCGGGTGCGTCTCAAAAGTGGCTCACCCATATAATTTTTTTTATTTTTTCAGATAAAAAAACGAGATTTGGTATGTTAGTATATGACATAAATTAGTATTGATTGACGTATTCAACTGTTTTCGGTCACTTCCTGTTTCACCGGAAATTACTACAAATTTTGATTTTTAAATGGCAACTTTTGTATCTTTTACTTTATTCGATAGAAAATGACACTCTGAACAAAATGAACACACAAATGAAACAGGAAATGGCCGAAAAGAATTGAATACGTCAATCAATCCTAATTTATGTCATATACTGACATACCGAATCTCGTTTTTTTTATCTGAAAAAATAAAAAAGTTATAAGGGTGAGCCACATTTGGAAACGCATCCGGTATTTTTGGATAAAATCTGTGGACTCCAGGATTTTTTATATTTTTTTCTTAATTCAAAATTCTTACATTTTAAATGAAAATATTGTTGTTTTAAATTAAATTAAAAGTATTTTTAATCAACTCGAGTATTCACAACGTCAAAATTACTGGTAATAATTTTGAAATTGTAGAAGAAGCTAAAGCTTCATTCAGAACCTCCCAATTAGTGGAATAAATTAAGGGTTCCAATTATTAGCGTAGAAATTTGTTCCTTTAATTTTAATGTAAGCATTCAGAACGTCAAAATTATAGTGGTAGACATTTTAATTAGTAGAAAAAGTTATCAAACTTTTAACTTTTCCTTTAATTATCATTCAAAATTTGCGAGAAATTTCGAAATCATTTTGGCCTTTGATTATCTTCCATCAAGAGAAATTATTATGGTTAGAAATCAAAAGTTTATTGTTTCAAAAGCTAAATATTAGTCTTCCTCTATGGATACAATTGACTACCGCAAGCTGTTGCTAGGATATTCTATTAATTTTAATACTGTTTTTTTAAACATTGTGAATAATCGTAAATTCATAAGTATAAAGTACTAGCGTGTACCCGCGACTTCGTTCCCGTCGAATTAATCATTTGTAATTGTGATGATAAAGCAAAGCAAGAATTTCCATTAAAATAAAAAAAAATAATAATCTGGATAAAATTTTCTCACTTGGTAATATTTGAGGTGAGGAGTTTCATCTCGTTAGAATTTGACTTTCGAAAAATCCGTTTGCCAAAAATAAGCTTTTTACGTCAAGCAGTTTAAGCAGAATCGTGGTTAATCCATTACCCAACTTTTTGGAACACCTTGTATGATTTTAGTATTATAAAAATTTTAAAATATATGAAAAACAAAATAAATTATGCGTGTCCAAGCGTTTTCCCGAAAGACTAACCGTTTTTAAATAACAAATATTGTAATATTTGAGGGCGTTTTCACCCTCTTGGAATTTGAGATTCGAGAAACCCCTCCTTATCGAACCTCTACACCCCACAGTCATCCGTTTGCCAAAAATCAGCTTTAAACGTCAAGCAGTTTAAGCAGAATCGTGATTACTCAATGGTCATATTTTAAGAAACACCCTGTATAAATTTTTAAAAAAACTTAAAATATGTAAAACAACGAAATAAAATATGCATGTTTAAGAGTTTTTCCGAAAAACTCACCGGTTTTTAAATAGAAAAAATGTTTTAATATTTGAGGGGTGGTTTCACCCCCTTAGAATTCGAGTTTCGAAAAATCCCTTCTTATCGAACCTCTACACCCTAAAGTCAATCTGTTTTACAAAAATCAGCTTTTTACGTCAAGCGCTTTAAGCATGATCGTGGTTAATTAATGACCAGATTTTTCGAAACACCCTGTAAACATTTTTAAAAAATCTTAAAATATGTAAAAAAACAAAATAAAGTATATGTGTTTAAGCGTTTTTTCGGAAACTTGACCGTTTTTTAAATAAAAAAATATTGTAATATTTGAGGGGTGGTTTCACCCTCTTAGAACTGGAATTTCGAAAAATCCCTTCTTATCGAAACTCTACACCCTAGAATCAAGCTGTATGCCAAAATTGAGCTTCTTACGTTGAGTGGTTTGAGCAGGATCGTGATTAATCAGTGAGTCAGTCACTTAAGGATTTTATATATTAGTATAGATATAATTGAAACCACTAATTTCGAAGTTCTCAACGAGGCTTTATATAGATTAAAATAAGATTGATGGCAACAGGAAGCGTTTATAAAATACAACATCGTGCTTCTGCATAATTCAACAAAAGCTTTCCTCGCAAAACATATTATTTATAATAGATTGAGTTATAAATAATGCAAGATATATTTATGGATAAATAAACGAAATCTGTTCGATCATACTAATTACTTGTAGTTGACGTTCTTTTGAGGCGTTTCCTCTACACAAACATGATTCTATTTTAGCCTAAAGCACCCATCAGAATTGATAATTTATTTTAATTTGCTATACAAGATGTCTTTTAGATAATTTAACACTTTTTAAGACAATATAGAGTTTTTTTCAGCTAATTTTTTATTTTACAGCCTCATAAATTTATTTATCTCTATTAATGAGAATTTTCCTCACTTACTGGATTTTCTGATAATATAATTTTAGAAATAATATTGCACAACTTTGACTGATTTCCTTGTTTACAGACATATTAATTTATAGTAATTTTATTTACACTATTATTTTTTAACATAAAGGAGTTCTAAATAAAAAAAAACAACGCTTTATTGTACAAAAAGCCAAAACAGCTTCATCGACAAAGCAAAACAAAAAAAGCACAAAAACAAATATACAAATAACACAAAAAATGTCATACAATACAAATCAATTAAAAAAAAAAATGTACGTCATAAAATTACAAATAAAACATATACGGACATTGCAGAACACAGGCGTATCTAGAAAATTTTACAAAAGGAAAACTGTAAATGGATAAAATCATGTTATAATAACATAAAATCAAGAGTTATAAAATATTAAATACTAGACCTTTAACCAGTGTGTGAGATGATCAAAATATTAAAATTAAAATTCTAAATTGTTCATGATTAAACATCAACAAAAAAGTCGTTTACCGCATATAGGGCTCTCTCCAGTAAGTATGATTTCAGAGCTTTGCGAAATGCGGGAAAGAATGAAAGTGACTTGATATTCGAAGGCAGATGATTGTACATTTTCCTGGCATTGTACAGTATTGAGCCCTTAACCAGTTCTGAGCTCGGGGTTGGCAGATAAATATCGTGCTCCGCATTCCTAAGTGGATAGTTGTGAGAAGGCCTTTCCGGAATAGAGAATATGTGCTTGCGGATTAAACAAATGGATTCAAAAATGAATAAGGAAGGAAGAGTCAGTATTTTGAAATTTTTAAAGAAATTCTGGCAGTGAGTTCTACTGTTTAGTCCCAATAAGTATCGAACTGCTCTCTTTTGAAGTTTGAAAATACGATCAAGTTTTGTCGCGCAGCAAGTACCCCAGAATGGAAGGGCATAACGAAGATGCGACTCAAAAAGGGCATAATAGACCATTCTAGAGGTTGATGAGTTAAGTTCCTTAGACACTGATCTTAGCGCAAAACAGGCAGAGCTTAGTTTCTTTGATAAGGCTTCGATGTGCAAGTACCATTTTAAAGAGTTGTCCACAACAAGTCCTAAGAATCTCACAGAGTCCACGACGTCAATAGTGGTGTTATTAAGTACAAAAGGTTGTATAGTACTTTTATATGACAAAACTTTAGTTTTTGATAGGTTGAGGCATAGGAGATTAGAATCGCACCAAGATTTAATGGTGCGTAAGTCACTGGATATAGTATCATATATTGCTGCAACATCTGGGCCGCTCCAAGTGAAACTAGTATCGTCCGCAAAGAGGCAGATTTTACCGCTAATGTCTAGATTTGCAATGTCGTTGATAAACACCAGAAACAAAATAGGGCCAAGTACTGAACCCTGAGGGACACCACATTCTAAAGGCTTACAAGAAGACATAGACGTATCAATCCTCACAAGCTGCCTTCTGTTGCCAAGATACGACTTAAGCCATTCGAGCGGCACTCCCCTGAATCCATAGTTTTGCAATTTGTTAATTAAGATATTATGATTTACACAGTCGAAAGCCTTAGAGAAATCACAGAAAATTGTAGCTGTAGAGTGATGGTTATTCAGGCTAGAGTATACATTATTAAAAAGGTCGAACATAGCATCATTTGTGCAACTGTTACTTAGAAATCCAAATTGATGGGTAGAAAGTACTTTATATTTAAGGAGAAAAGATAGAAGCCTTTTTTAACCAATCTTTCAATGATCTTAGATAATGTGGGCAGGAGAGCAATTGGGCGATAGTTCGAAGCTTGATCTTTATCTCCTCCTTTATGCAGAGGAATAATTATTGCTGTCTTAAGGCAGTTTGGAAAAACTCCTTTTTGGAATGACTCATTAATTAAAGTAGTAAGATAGATTAATGTGCATTCCGGAAGTTCAGAGAACATTTTGAGAGTAAGCCCATCAGTCCCAGATGAGAATTTATTTTTAATACTTTTAATTGTACTACGGAGCTCATCTAATGCTACGGGCGTGAAGAAGAAAAAATACTTTATATTTATTTAAAAGAATACAGGGTGGGCCAATATTCCGTGGACATAGAACTATAATGCTATGGGAAAAAACATACTTTATATATATTTTTTTCTTATTTTCAGTCGGCATGTGGTTCAACATGCTTCCAATGGCGGCGCTAGTGGCAGTCGTTTCCTCGGGGATTCCCTGCGAAGAGGCCAGGTTGAAGTGCGCCTATAGAGAGGGTTGTGGAAAAGCCCTACAGAAGTACCTGATCGGTTGTTCCACAGTGCTGCAAGGCCCTAGACCGAGCTACTGTCCAGAAATCTGTCAGCTGTCACTTATAGCTCTGGTGTCGACCGAAGAAGGCAAGGCTTTGATGGAAGTAAGTTAGTTTCGCATTTTTTTTTAATAGAAATAGAAGTTTATATACAGGGTGTCCCACTAAGAATAGCTCTCGGCTGTATCTCGGAAAGTAATAGCCGTAGGGCCTACGGAAAAAAATATTTATCACTAAAGTGGCTATGAGAAATTGCCGGAAATCATTTTCAAGTTTGTAAAACGGCCGCTAGAGGGCGCAACTGCTATGGAAAATAAGAAAATAGAATTTTTACAGAATTTTGCCTAGATAATGGGTACTACAAATAATAGCTTCATAATCTTCAGTAAATTTTGGATTTTTTTTGTTAGAACCATCTTCCCCTATCTGCTAAAATAAGGTGGTGGGGGAAGGTTAGATCTGTCTTTATTTAAATGTTAATAACTCCGGGCTGGATGATCACAATCCAACAAACGAAGGCTCGTTTAAAAGAGTGTTTCTTACTCTATATTATACCATAAAAATAATAATAATAAAGTTTTGAACGTAGACGCTAGGAGGCGCTTTCTTACAACTTAACAAACAAAGCGCGTTTTTTAAAAAAATTAAATACGATAGTATACAATTTTAGCTGATAGTAAATAGTAGTAAACGCTTAAAAAGTCAGCGAAAACCGCATCTTGATATCTTCTTTCAGACCGAAGATATTAGTAAAATTATAATAAATACCAAAAAATAAGCCCTTAGTTACCTTATTTTTACAACACGGTATCAGGTAACCCTCTTGATTATGCCCATTCTAACAAAAAAATATGACAGAAACAGTTAGTTTGTTTTAAAATCGACGATATACCAGGATAATCTAATAATTAAGATATTAAGCCTCAGTGAAGTCATGGCAGGCTTTGGAAAAATGTTGCTTTTGACGTAATAGTATAAACGTCAAATTGTGATTAACGTCAATACATTTTAGAACAAGCAAAACTTTTATGAAGAATGCATTTTTTTTAAATGTCAATAACAACAAAGTTTCTCCTCTTGTAAAGGCAATCCGGAGACATACTGTATATAATATTGACAAGCCATTACTGTTAAAGGCCGGTGTTACATCTGTGTCCGTCACATACACATAAAACATTTTCTAATACAAAATTATTTCTTCAAAAAAATATAAATCTCGAACAGAATGATTTAATGTTAGAATCTGTCTTCTAAATTTAAAATTTTGACAAATTTTGTCTCTGGTGCGGTCTCTGATCTCATCAATCTTTCAAGAATTGTTATTTAAATCACTCAGTAGTGTTGGAATATGTCCAATTAGATGAGAGAGCGGTCTCCTGTGTCGTTTACCGACATGTCACATATAGAACTGCCAGAAATACACAAAATTATTCCTAAACTCCTAATTGTTCACGAAAATAAGTAATGGTAAAGACGCCCTAACATCCTTACCATTAATACCTATGATTAATAAACTCAGATGCAAAAAAAAGCGCAACGGAGAAATTCGGTCAGAACCATGACTCCTAGGCATTTTGTTTTTTGATTCATGTCAATACATGCTTTGGTTAATTTTTAAGAGCGAAATGAACTGATCTGGATCTATTTGCAATTTTTTCAATTATAATTACTTTTTGATGTAATTTTTTAATATGACGAGATGGTTTTGGTGACCATTGTCATAACGTCATATTACGCTGCATTGCATACTCTATACTAAATTAAAGAAAAAACGTTAAAGACTAACGATACAGTCCTGGTTTTAATAAGCATGCATAACGATAACAGAACTAACGATATTAAAGAATTAAGATCTGTAATACTGAAGTATACAAACAGAAAAAAAATTGCAAAAAATAAGCTAATACTTTGTATTGCCTCCCTTGGCTACTACAAATCCTTGTAACGTTCGTTCATACTGTCGTTAGGGCTGCATATATCATATTGCGTTATGCTTTCCCATTCTTCTTTAAAAACCAAGCGAAGTTCATTTATTAAAGCTGGTACCGCTTCGCGACCTCTAAACCTCCTGCCAAGAATTTCCCAAACGTCGAACATGATGGACAGTTCATAGTAGTATATAGCTTACAGTGATCACCAAAACCACCTCGCCATATTGAAAAATAACACCAAAAAGTAATGATAATTGAAAAAATCGCAAATTGTTGGTAGCAAGTTCATTTCGCTCTTAAAAATTAACCAAGGCATGTATTGACATGATCCAAAAAACAAAATACTCAGGAGACATAGTTCTCACCGTAAAATTATATTTTAGGAAAATTTACACGCGAAATTATTGCACAGGGTGTTTTAAAGTTAAGGTAAAAAAGCAACCCCTCGCTTAACCCTGTATAATATGGCAATTACTAAAGTTTATATACAGCTTGCTAAAAATTTCATAAAAATAGAACTAAAAATAACAGAAGCATAATTTTGCATCTGAGGTAGATAAACCTATACAAAACCAAAGCTATTAGTACTATTTACACTTTTTTTGTTCTAGTGTGATTGCAGTGATGAGTACTGCGAGGACCAAAAAAGACGCCCTGAAATCTGTCGCCCAGAAGTCTCAAGGCTCATGGAAGAACCCATAGTCTCCTGCAGAGTGGCTCAATGGATCTGCAACGCCGATGCTCAATGCTCCACAGCGTTCGACTACTACAGACGCCTTTGCAAGGCAATGTTCCACGGCAAAAAATGCACGCGCAAGTGCCTGAACTCCATAAACATTCTGCGCAGACAGGACAAAGCTCAGAAACTGAAATCCTGCAAATGTGACGGATCAGAAGACTATAACTGCCTGGATATTCAAAGAAACATGAATAAACTGTGCTTCCACAGCTCCCATCATCACTATAATGTGACAGAGACTCATTCAGAAAATGAGGTGGTTAAAGTTATGGTGACTTCGAACTCTAGCGTGAATAGTGTTAGTGTTTCAGTGTTCTTTATGGTTTTGGTGTGGTTTTTGCTGTTGTGGACTAGGTAGAAACACTTCCTGAACTGTCTTTGAACAGAAAAGTACGAATTTATTGTAAAATTTGAATGGAAGGGTTTGGATTTATAGTACAAACGATTTTACGCACTTCAGAAGTGGGATTTGCCATGATTTTCCTTTGACAGATGAGAAAATTTCGAAGATTTCTAGAAGATTTTTATATTTTTCAAGAAATAATATGAAGAAAAAAACGGTGTCAGAGTAGGTTTAGAAATATCAATCATATATTTGTTGAATTTCTTGAAAATCGCATCTAACTATGTTAGAAGCTACATATTTCTGAGACAGATACAGTTAAATTCAGAATTTAATGTCAAGATTACGTCAAATGTGAGCATCAATCAATATAAGCAAGTTATTTTCTTCATGTCATTTGTTTAAAATGCATAGATATACATAGATTGACAATACTTTTTAAGACTTTTATATAGAATATAATTTTCAGAGATACAGCGTCCATATTTAAAATCACATTTTGTTTACAGACAGTGTTTCATCTAAAATTTCAGTAAAAAGTAAAATTATCTGGTTTTAGCTCATTTTTTATTATTCTTTTTTTTTTTCTTTTATCTTGATTATCTTTGATTTCAAATAATAATAATAATATTGCTGTATCTCGCATTTAGTATTAAGAGCTCTATATACAACAAAAACTTATAATTTTACATATTTTTGATGATAGAATACCACATATTTTTTGATGATTTCCGCTCATATTTGTTTCTATAGAGTTCTTAAAGATTTCTACCTCATCTGTATTGCAGTATTCTGTTTTTTTTTTCTTTAACTGTGATATTAATTTTAAAAAAAAAATCTTATAGAAAGAATAAATAGTTATTAATTTTTGGTATGATAGTGTGAGTTTGTAAATTCTACCTGTAAGAGTGTGAAAATATTGTATAGTTAATTAATATTTTTATAGAACAAACTACTCTGTATTAATTTTTTATAATTGTAATATTATACGAAGAAAAACATACAAGATCATCAAACAAGTATTATGTCTCTATGTTCGGTGTAGGATATAGTTCCTAATATTTACTTATTAAAATACTTAAAAATACTTTTACACTTCATATGTTGTTACGCTACTGTGTTTTGTATTTACTTAAACTGTTATTTAATTTAAACCGATAAGAACACCAGTTCACTGTACTTATTTAAATACATAATACAATTATATTTATTCAGTATAAGATAAAAAAAATTGCACACAGTAGCTGTATTTAATTAAAATAATTGTATTTTTTTTTTCAAAAAAAAAAATAAATCTGGAGATATAAGACTTCATCCAAAAGTGTCTTAGTATTGCCTTAAAAAATAAATTTTGTTTATTTGCCAATATATTTATGTAAAATAATTTAAAAATGAACCAAAGAAGGGCTTGCGTGAAGTGTATATAGCTTTAAATTATTGCAAAAAATTGTTTATATACAGTCAAGCATTTTTCTTCTTTGTAAATTAATTTATTCGCCCACCCTGTGTATATTATATATAAAATTCTCCGAAATTGTTGATTCTTTTTAATATTCATTATAAAATTAGATTGATTTTAAAGAATTTTACCATTTTTTTTGAGGATAAAAAAATATGTACTTTTGTAAATTTTGTAGAAATTAGAGAAACATTTGTAAAAATATTTTTTTGGTTCATTTCAAAGTATTTCTTTTCGTTTAGGTTTGGTAGTGTTGAATTGTTTATTGATAGAGATTGATTTTTTATATTTTTTAATAGAAATAAAAATACAGTGTTTTTATAATAAGAATAATTTGTTTTTTTTAAGAAAAAATGTTTTATAACCTATTTTCAAGTCCCTGTTAAGTACACCCACCATACATAATCCTTTTATACAGGGTCGTACGTATCGACTGAAGGATTTTTATCCAAAACGAAGACAATCTAAAGGTTTCTGGCAGTTTTGCACAATAAAAATTATTAAAATATGTAGTAGGGGTATTTGTTATTTTTCCTACATCTATTTTTTTTACATTTACGGTGTTTAATTAAGGATTAGAATAATTAGAATTAGAATAAGTGGGAGAGGGGTTAATCTCTGCGACCTTAGAGATCTATTGTGTCCCCCTTTCTTGAGTTATAACTCATCATACAGTCGCAGAACTTCCTACGGAGACCCGTGTCCCTCACAGTCGAGGAGCTACGACCCAGGCCGGGTAGACGAAACGGTAGCTTGTGTCGCCTGTTGGGTTTAGAGGTAGGAGGTAGGCTCCCGACCCTTGGAGGAGGTGGTAACTTGATGCCACTTGCGGAGGATGGTCTCAAGCAAGTGTCAGCCACCTCTCCTGTAGTTCTCTTTGGGTTTGGCCCCTTGGAACTTTCATTGTTACTGTTCCCAGTGTTCCTAGGGGGTTTCCCCACAGCTTCACCGGTGATGTTTTTATTACTATTATTACCAGATCTCATAGTGTTCTCATGAGTCGCTAGGGACAGTCGGTCCACTTCTACAGAGCCCCGCATGTAGAAGTAGGGGGTAAAGCTTCTGAGATTGCTTCTTAGACCAAGCCAAGTGCTAGGGATTCCCCCCAGCACCTGACCAGGAGCTTCCCCACCAACGACAAGGTCTTGCATCTCCTAGGGGAATCTCCTAATTAAGGATGACTCAGTTTAAAGCAATGTTGCTGTCAAAAATTCTGCAATTCGAAAAATTGTAACATTTAACAAAAAATTAATAGATACATTTTTATATTTCAACGTGTCTTTTTACACACATTTCATAACAAAACCAAAGTGCTTGACGATGAAAAGAAATAAAAAGGTAAACGGAAAAAATCTATCTAAAAGTCAGTTGATCATGGGGTCTTTTACGATTAATTGTACTCGGTTCAAGCAGTTATTGTAAGCAATGATTTTATGAAACATACTTTATAATACTGCTGTCAAGTATCTATCACAGCATTTTTGATCGTGATATTTTTTTAATAAACAGTTTATTTTTAATTTACATCTAAAATTTTTCTCCTAATTATAAAATAGGTAAAATACACAAAATTTCGTGATTTACTTTATACAAGATCTGGAATTTTTTGTGAAGTTGAAAGAATATGAGGGCTTTTAAGGCTCCTTTGGAAAATTTTCAAAAGTCCATTTTGAGTTCAAAATTGTTAAAAATAAAGTCTAAGCTATCATTGGGGATTAAACGTGAAACAAAAACATTTATTTATAAGTTTTATAACATGTCTAATTAAATTTGAAGAAATATTGCTGGTTGCTGTAGATAAATAAGGAAAATACGTAAATAAAAAGGACGTTTTAGGGCAAAAAAAGTCACAAGGATAATTTGTTTAAAAAAAGGACTGTCCTTTTCAAAAAAGGACAGGTGGCAATCCTAGGTAATACTGATAGGTCCCCCAAAGTATCTCCCCTACTATAATTCATCATTTTTGTTAACTTAAGACAAAAATTAATATTAAGAATATATTATACAAGTATTTGTTGATCATTTCAGGCTAAATTGAATATTTTACTGACAAATTTCTTTAAAGTGCTACTCAACAGAAGAACCTTTACTAAAGCATTCGTAATATTTGGCGTATGAATCCTGGCCTATAATAGTTTTTATACAAAACTGAAGACATGTAAAGATTCTACGTCGTGTGCGTTTAAAGGAAAGAAAAATTTATATCGGCTTATAATATTAAATTTTTCAGAGCATCATCAGGCAAGCGTAGCCTTAGATTTAGCTCAGATCAACACAGGGACGGATTCAACAAAATTCTTGTTCAATAATACCTAATCAGTATTGCCAACTCTTTGCTGAAAAAAAGTCAAATATCTGGGAATAACTCTGGACAGTAAACTTCATGTATACAGGGTGGTCCAAACTGTATTCCGGATACTTTGGAAGATAAAAATAAATAAAAAACTTTGTATACATGTATGTCCGAAAATGCTTAGTTTCGGAGATACAGGATGTAGAAGTTTCATTTTTATTTCGATTTTTTCAAAATAATTTTTGAAGTAACGTCAATATTTGGATTAAAATTGGTGTTTGGGAGTTTTTTGATATGAGAAATTTGATTTTGATGTCAATATGACTCCTACTTATAGAGTTTTAAATGTTTTGAAGAGTAAAAACTTTTTGTCTGTACCTGTATAAAACTACCGGGTAAAAAAATATACATTTAGGACATTTTTTACGTAGACAAGGTCTTTTGGTAAAAATCGCCACAAGTAGTGGTTCTCGAGATATTTGGAATCGAAATTATCAATACCTGTCATCATTGACATATATTAAACATGTTGACTAAATAGTTATTAAACTGAAATCATAAATTTGAAATATTTTAGTGGCAAAAGTTCAACAGAAACTGTTTTATCATCATTTTTTCGAAGAAAAATTTATCATTAATTTAAAAGAATTAAAAAGTTGCCAAATTTATCATTTCAGTCAAATAACTATCTACTCACCATGTTAATTTTTTGTCAATAATTTTTACCAAGAGGCATTTTTTACGTAAAAAATCACGTAAAGGTATATTTTTTCACCCAGTAGTTTTATACAGGTACGGACGAAAACTTATTACTCTTCAAAACAGTTAAAATATATGTACTTGGCGCCCCCTACAAATAGGAGTCATATTGACATCAAAATCAAGTTTCTCATGTTAAAAAACTCCCAGAAACCAATTTCCATCTAAATATTAACGTTACTTTAGAAATTATTTGGAAAAAATCGAAATAAATATGAAAATTCTACACCCTGTATCTCCGAAACTAAGAATTTTAGGACATACATTTTTACAGACTTTTTTACTTATTTTTATCTGCAGAATATGCTGCCAAAGTTTCCGGAATACAGTTCGGACCACCCTGTATATGTAATTTAGGTTTAATTACTGAGAGAAACCGCACAAAAAAAATGAGAAACCTGCTTCTACCTTAAATAATAAAAATAATAATTTATATTATTCAATACCTTAGAATATAAGTGTAATGGACTAAGAAATATTTAAGAAGTTTTTTATAGTTCTTTACAGTGATATACAGGGTGTCCCGGAAATAAGTGCAAGTATTTTAAAGGGTGGTAGATCTCGATAAAAGAAACACTTTTTCTCTTTATCGTTTTTCAAATAAGTCCAAAATTGCGGAGTTATTTTACTTTGAAAATTTCCAAAAAAAAATGATTTTTTGCCAAAATTTTGAGAACCACTGGATCTTTTCTGGATTTTCTTTTCTTAAATTTAATGTACTACTTATGTGGCCATATTATCAATTAAAAATTATCTTTAGTTAATAAATATATATGGAAAACTTCTATGGAACAGGTATATTAAGAACTTTACCAGAAAATATATTTTTTACCACATTTTGCGATGGATGTATCCTAGCATAATAGTAAGACCCATGATTACTTATAGAGCGGTTATGCTTGGTACACAAAACCGGAGCAATATACAGCAAGGCAAAACCTGTACAAAATGCAGACTTCTGGCATGCATCTGTATCACAGATATACTCGTCATAAATTCCTTGAAATAATAATTTCTGAATATTTTTCAAAACGTAACTCGCCATGGAAAAAAATATTGTTTTATACACGACGATAAAATACCATTTTATCGTCTTGTATAAAAAATAAATATTGTACAACTATCTTTTTATTTTTATTTTTTTGAAGATATAGCTTCGTTGAAGGTGTATCCTTATACAAACTCTAAAAAATATTGTTTAGTCCGTCCCTGGCGGCTTTATAGAAAGAACTTCTTCCAAGGTGGTCTCTCTTGGTCAATTAAGTTGTGTATTATTACAGCATATGATTCTTAGATGCCAGAGAGAGGCGAACAAGACGAGCACGAGTGCAAGAGAGATGGCTAGAGAAGAGATATAGAGATGGAACAATTAAAGGGTCTGATATTTCGGATGCTTTTAATACTGTTTTAATTATTTGTTTGTTTATTGATGAGTGCGACGTGGCATAAGATCGAAACGTTTTGTTTAGCGAGTTACAAATGAAGATTGATCGGTATTAACTATACGTGAACGATCACTTTAAAATATTATTTTTTCAGTTAAGTGTAGTTAATATAGACCTACATGGTTAAGATATACAGGGAGTCAAACTTCAAAAAAGGTCTATGTTTCACTATTGATGAACGAATGCAAGACCAAGATCAAGAGTTTCTTGGTCTTGGTGCAAGACGAGATGAAGACCATCGAGACATTGATTTTTCTCCGAAGGAAGAGTAACCATAACTCCGATTCTGAATCTCTTACTCATAGAAGAGAGAAAATTGAATAATCAATACCAGAAATAAAAGAGATGTGGTATATGTCATCCATATGCCAATGAAGAAATGACAAAAAACAAAAATCTCATGAATCAAATGTGCACGATCCATGTGCGGCAAATGCAGATCCTATATTAGCATGAACTGTATTTGAAAAAGTTAGGTACAGTCCGTTTGCTGGATCTGTGTCTATGAAAGGAATGCGGACAAAAAACATTTAAATAAATAGCAATATATTTTATACGTCGACTTGACGAGTACGTCACCGCAAATCGTTCCGCCCACTCATTTTATTGGCTACTTGCAAATTTGTCGAATTTTTATTGATAGGACGCGTCGTCTAATTTTTTACGAAAAACATCTAGAAAATATCGTTTCCCCTCTCACGGATACCCCGTAGCTACAGAACGGACAGACGTACTGTACAGGGTGGGTCAAATTCGACGCTTTTAAATGGAAACACCCTTTTCTATAGGAGATAGACG